TTTTGTCTCCCTTCTACATTTTAATTAGAATTAAACGTGTTAGCTAAGACTTCCCATCCCTATCCACACTAAATAATGTAAATGGTGATAATATGGTAGAAACTATTTGAACTAATGATGTTTCATTTTCATTGACGGCTTCGAGTGCCACTTCATTGAATGTCAATGAGTTCATACAAGTGAGACCTAAGTAGAAGCTACTAAGCGTGATCCTTAATTAAATATTCCCAATTTTTTGTCATCACTTAGTCATTGTTTATAAATGCTGCATGATTCATTGAGATCAGGTATTAATAAATAATTCAATCAAAAGAGACCTCGTAATACAAACAAAGCAAGACAATAAGAAAATAGTGTTCAAGCTATTGGGTGAGGGCTTTCTTTACTAAGACTTGCTATTATTTTATGAGCTATTTTGAACACTAAACCCTTGAAAATTTGTAAGCAAGAGCCATATGCAACACTTTACCCTTTGAAAATTTGTGAGCAACACTAGATTCAAACTATAAAAACTACTCAGCAATCTATAAGTGCTTTTAGCCATTTTCCCCACCCAAAATACTTTGCTAATGCTCTAAACATAAGTCTACCACTGTTGGTCAGATTAATAGATTAAGACTTCATAAGAAATAATCTTTAAATTTCAAAATCTTGAAAATTTCCCATATATATCTAGACCTATTACCCTAATATTTCCAAGTTATCAAAAGAACTAGAATTGTCTCATTCTCCCACTCCAACTTTTAAAGTGAACCGAATGGCTCTCACGTTTGATTGATTTCCAGCCTATTCACCATTTCCTTAACTGCACATAATTTAATCTAAAGGAAACCATCATCTCTTCCTAACCCTCTTCACAAGGGCTTCTAACAAATTTTAAACTTCATCAAGGGTGCTAAGCCAAAACGACATCATGTCTCATACGATGAGGTAGACGAATAACGCGGTCACTTTTTACTCTTTTGCTTTTTCTTCGTTCTTTTTTTAAATATTACATACTTGGCCATGATAAGTAAATTTCCTCTTTCTTTAACTTTCGAGCAATTCTTAGTGTTTGAACTAATGCTAATTCGATTATACTTTCCTCCAATTTAAACAAAGTATTTGTTTATCTTCAAGGCCTTGCACGATAGAATCAACTTAAAGAGTGGCATTTACAATTTTCTAGAAAAGTAAATATATTTTGGTTAGACTCAAATGCTCGAAAGAGTTGGACTCCAACTGTCATTTAATCACATGTTTAACTTAGTTGGACAGCTTTCAACTCCACTTACAAATATACATGTCCTCGAGTTCGGTGATTAGCTCTACAATTTTAGAAATCTTCTAGTGTCAATTGTCAGCTCAATCTATAAAGGCATTCCAAATTCTACAAATCATTTGGCCAACCTTTAGTAAACCTTCGCAACATTAATTAAATTTTAAAACCATAACAATTTAATCATAAATACCATTCTGACCCAAAATTATTTGGAGCTTAAGCTCAGGCAAAAGTAGATAGCGTTTAGGGCAATCCAAGTTAATTTTCCATAGTACGAATTTCAACTTGCTTGAGGAAAAAATAATCATATAGTTTTATGTAGTTAACGAGTTAATTTCTTATCCCTAGTCTTTCTTCTATACGCCAACTAAGTTATTGCATGTTTAGTGTTTTCTAGGTAATCCCTGTTGCTATCCATGCTATAATGATTTGGCATATCATTCATAAATGTTTATTTTTCCTTTGCCTTTACACATGTATTTGTAAAGTATAGTAATAAAAGGAGATTGAATCGCTTTTCTTAAGACATAACTAAATCATTAAGAAATAGAGTGTATGATTCTAAGGCAAGGTCGGCTCAAAGTGGCTTGACATTCCTACTGATACAAATAAAATAAGCACGGGCTTAGAAAGGCTCACCATGATGGGTGAAAGGGAAAACACAATCTTGAAAGATAAGACATTATTCTTTCAATTGGAGAATCCTTGAAGGCAAATTGGATAGACGTGTCGCAGAGAATTCTTATGTAAGAAATAAGAATTTAAACTTGCTATATGAGCAAACTCCTATTGTTAGTTATGCCTTGCGCATGACAATTAAGAAAAAAAATTTTAATTAAAAAGTATTGCTTATGCTCATTATCATAAGTTGGATAAGGACAATATTTTTGAGGAGCAAAATGTAATATAATGTATAAGGATTCCTTTTAATTTCAATACGCAAAGCACAGAAAGAAGCAATACTTATATCAACTAGAATGCTTATAACTTGTATATCATCAATAAAAATCACATCAAATAATAATTTTTAATAAATATAATGATACATTTAGTAACACATATAAAACATGATTTATGTAATAAATGACTTAAAATTTGATATAAAAATGAAAAAAATTATGATATACATGTTTATTTGAAGGAAAAATTCAAAGTTGAAGTTGAAAATTAAAATTTCTAACAAAAACTTTTATCGCATAAAAAATAATAAAAAGTTAATGTAAATATTAACTTCAAGTTTAAATAAAATATATTTAATTCAGAGCAAAAGTTAATCCTAAATTCATAAATTCTAAAATTTCACAAAGCAAGTTAAACAAAATGTATTAGTCATTATTTCCTCTATTAGTCACATAATCTATTTCTTTATCAAGTAGAATTTCATCTTCAAATTTTTCTTTCTCAACTTGTGAGTCAATCTCATTGTCTTTTTCTTGAATAATAAGAAAAGTAGATCGAAATTTAGATGAAAACCCTCATTGTGGATGAAGCTTCTATTATTTGTAACCTACTAATTAATACATCCTACTTTCAATTAACTTTTCCTAATGGCTCTTCAATTTTTCTTCAAATTAAGTCTTCATTACCAAAATATTTCTCACTGGTATCATCCATTTTCACAATTAGTTAACATATAATAACACTATTGTTCTAATTGTAGAAATTACATTTAAACAAGGAGAATATTATTTTATTAAAATGAAGCAAATTAGGATTTTCTAAAATTAATGAGATTTAATTAATTTTTTTTTCTAAATAGATATTATAGTTAGTTAAATAATTCTAAAAGTAATTAATAGATCACTTTTAGTAGGTTAGCTAAATCTACACAGGTAGCATCAATCCAACCATCAAATAAGAATCAAATGGCTATAATTTGCATTAAAACGATTACCAAGATTCCATGTGACGTAGAAGCTGATGAGGTTAATGTGCCTCACAAATATATGATTATCAAAATTTAAAATGGGCTAATCCATTAAACTGTGCAAGCTTTATCTAGCCGAATCAAAAGGTTATGCCTAATTGTCGTGAGCCAAGCATGATGTAATTGAGTCATTCTGTTCAGTTAGATAAAGTCAACCTTCATTGAGACTGTCATATAACTATCATATATTAAGGTGATCTTGCATTAGGAAGGGAGTGGATTTTTTAGCCACAATATTATAGATGTAAATAGTAAAGAAGTTTAAGCACGAAAACTTTCGCAGCATGCAACATTTCGGGATCATAAAATTCTCAGCACATACTGCCAACAAGATAATCTTATATAATAGGCGCAAGCATTTCAGTATTTGTGAAATATAAGTATGCACAATTAATAAACAACTTGACTTATTTTAACATTGAGGTGAAGGATGCAATATGATATTTGAGCCGATAAGTAAAAAACTCACAGCATCATCAAAAGAAATTAACCGCTCCTTGTCTGTACCAACAGCCAATATCCCACCATCATGCGATTTAGAGATGATTTGACTTAATTCTTGATTAAGATTTCTTTTTGAAATGAATTTGTAAGAACGAAAAGCCTTAATCGATGCTAATGTAGCTCCTCTGGTATGTGTTAGGTCCCCTCTAAAGCCCAAGAAAGAAATTATACAAGGGAAACAGCAGCAAATTGTTGCGCACAGGATAAATGGCATGGCATACCCAATGCAACTGAATGCCAGAAAAGCTATACATAACCTGGAGATCAAAACGATTTAATAATGCTAGTGTAGCAAAAGGTAAATTTTAGTAGACATAGTAAACTTTCAGAATAAATATACCTGTACAAGTTTGGCGCACCTGCAGCAGAGGAGTGTCCACCAAAAATCCATACATTACCGAGAACAAACCAAATGGCAAAGAAACAATTCAATGCCATTTTAAAACGATCAACCAAAGCATTCAGCCTGTCAGGCATATGATATCATGAAACAAAAGGTTATTTCAATATTTTATGCGGAGCTTTCAAATTTAACCAAGATGGCAAACAAATCAAGCCGTGGATCAGAATGTGAGACAGGATCTATACCTTTACTTTCATCTAAAACATTTTCAAAGATAAAAGAGATTAGCAAACTCCTATTGTTAACTACAAACCTAAAAAATTATTATAATATGATGCAGATATACGAGTTACGACATATGCTTTCTTCTTTTCACACAATAAAGTTTCCAGTAAATTTCTACTCTATAGATGAGGAATGAAGAATAACATTTCTCAAGTTGAAAACTGTGCATTAAGAACCACATGTATTAGATTTTTAAACTGATATGATTTGCATTAACATAATAAAAAATAGCCCACCTTAAACACAGCTTCAAGTCTACATACATCAACCACCTAGATCTAACATTGACGGGAGCTTCATGCAATAGGCACATCTATAAGAAAATTAAAAAGAGTCGATGGATATTGTGCATGTAAATTGCAGTTAGAAAGAATATACAAAATTCATCCAAAAAAGTAAGAAAATTAAAATAAAAATGAAAGCCTCGGGACCATTTAGTAAACAAATTGACACTCCATCCATTGTTAAGAAGGTATAAGTTGGATCATTCTAGGTTTGCAAATACTTGAATTTTATGATGCTAAAGAAAGGTGCAGGAATTCTACAATCTAGAAGTTAGCAAATGACATAAATTATAGTTAGATATGATATAAAATAATAGAAGTTTCTATGATATACAATACATAATTTGCTTGATTAGTACATTTCATACTTAATTGAATTGACCTAATTTACCCTCTTTCCTAGATCCGGTACTTCAAAAAAGTTTCATGCAATTGGCTTGAAGTACCAAAAATTGCGATTATAATAGGGTGTTTGTTTTCAAGTCCTAGACCAGACCCAAGGAGCTTAATTAAGGCCAAGTGGCAAGTCCAACAGCATCATACCATGCTATGCTAAGCATCACCAAACTCATAATATCATAAAATTTAGTAGCTGAAAATACCATGAAGTAGAACCTATAAAATATTGATCCAACCTTGAGAATGCAGCAGTACCAGGGGTTCCTCTTCCTTCCGTATTCTGTGTAAGAGAAACTACAGTGTTTGAAGGAGATTCAGAATATATATTCTGGAATGAAGACGGCTGTGATTGTGATGATGTTTGGTCAAATCCTTGACTATTGAAGTTGCTATAGCGCCAATAAAGATGTGGAAGTGTAGCAGCACAACCAAATGCATAACCAATAACCCAAGCAAATAATGGTACGCGTGGATGCTCATTCTGTGACAAGGATATAACAATGATAGCTGCCAAAATTTGGCACACGTTGACAATCAGCTCAATTGAGATCCACAAACCAGAGTTGAGAAGACTTCTTTGACGACGGCCACGACTGTCTCGTCTTCCAGTAAGAAAAGCATTTCTAAAACTAGAGGCAGTGATTGGTGAAGGTGATCGAGAGACAGAACCTTCGACGTCTCTTGAT